ACCTGAAAAGCCTGTGTGTCCTTGAGAAGCATCGCCTCTAAGGAGTGCAGGGGGAAATGAGCACAGAAAGGGAGCAGACCAGTAGTCAGGAGCAGCAGATGCCAAGGGCCTCTTAAGGGTGCCTGGTGTTCAATTTTAGGTTGTTTCCTAATCCACGCAGTGCACCCAGCTTCTCCAGTTCTTCTCAAACGTGCAGTGAACTCTTCCTCACTGTCCTCCTTGGTATTAAGTTTGCCTTGAGGAAATAATGAAAGGTGGTGTCCAGAGTGGAGATAGGAATTTGGACTAAACCTAAATGGGAAAAGAATTTGAAAAAAGAATAGATGCATGTAAATGTACAATGGAATCACTTTGCTGTACACCTGAAATGAACACAACAGTCTTAATCAACTATGCTATAATATAAAATAAAAAATTTTTTAGATGACCTGGAAAATGTAAGCCCTAGATGTTTTAAAATTCATGGATGTCTGACTAAGCTATTCTACTGAAGTATTACGGGAGAGTAGGACCTCAGAGGTGAGGGGGAGCTGCAGGGATTAAGGGCAGGCCTATATAGGTTGGATGACATCACTGACTCAATGGACATGAGTTTGAGCAAGCTATGGGAGATGGTGAAGGACAGGGAAGCCTGGCGTGCTGCAGTCCATGGGGTCGCAAAGAGTCGGGCACAACTGAGCGACTGAACAACAACAACTACATACTTTTGTGTAATTATCTTGATGTCCCCCAGAATATTTGATGTAGCAAAACTAACCCTGTCACCCTCACTACCTAGACCCACCATATCCCCTTCACCTCTCTTTGGGTGAGTGGACGCTAAAGTGGGATGTGCCACGAGAGAAGATGTACTGTGCCAGGTCAGTTCCAGAACAGTCCAAAATCTTTAAAAATTGTGAGGGCCAGTTTGCCAAGCCAGAGAGCTGTGGTTCTTGGCATGCGAGCCAAGACTGGATCTGAGTCCTTTCAGGGATGAAGGCAGCGTCCTGGTTTCCTGGGGCTGCAGCAGAAGTTCATTCTCTCACCATTCTGGGGGCCAAGCAGGGAGTCAACAAGAGCCATTCCTTCTGGAGGGACTCGGACAGGGAGAGCCTGTTCCCCTCAGGCCTGAGTGGGCAGGGACTAGTGATCCCCCTAAGTATTCAGTGATGGGAGGATCACAGTCATCACTCGGTACCGCCGGGGGTTGGTTCCCGGACACCAAGGACACCCAATCCACGAATGCTCCAGTCCCTTACATAAATGGGACTCTTCAGTTCAGTCGCTCAGTTGTGTCCAACTCTTTGTGACCCCATAGACTGCAGCACATCAGGCCTCCCTGTCCATAACCAACTCCCGGAGTTTACTCAAACTCATGTCCATCGTGTCAGTGATGCCGTCCAACCATTGCATCCTCTGTTGTCCCCTTCTCCTCCTGCCTTCAATCTTTCCCAGCATCAAGGTCTTAGTGTTGGTATATAACCTATGCACATCCTCCCACACACTTTAAATCATCTCTAGATTCCTTATAGTACCTAATCCAATGTAAATGCTATGTGAATAATCGTAAACACAATGTAACTGCCATGTAAACATTTATCAGAGTGTGACAAATTCAAGTTCTGCTTTTTGGAAACATGTGTAGTTATGTTTTTATATCACTCTGAGAAGTTTGACTTTTCAGTTAGGTAAAATGATTATTCTTCCAAATTAATTTTGCTTAATTTTGACTTCATCTTTTCTGGTGCACATAGGAAAAGTAAAGGGAAATTTGTGAAATGGGCCCACCAGTTAAAAAAATATCACAAACAGTTAAATGATGCAGTTTTGTATCAGTTTCTTCCAGAAAAAGTCAGTTAATTTAAATAATGGCTTGATTATTATTATTATTTTTTAATCCAGTTCATGGACTCAGAGCTTTTGAAAGATCATTCTGTCAAAGATTAAAGCATCTGATATTATCATAGTTTATCACTTCACTTAAAAATAATTCAACAGTGAAGACGGTGGTGGTACTAAAAATACCAACTTCAGTGGAGCCCAGCATAATGGGAAAAAATAGTGTTATTACTAAATTAAGAAATCTGTGAAGCAGAAATGTATTTGGAATTAGCTGTAGTGCATTCAGAGACCAAAACTGCATCCAAACAAGCTGTGAGAGTCTACCAACAAAGTAGAAGCTATGGTTGACAGACATTGTAAATATTTTTATTTATACACAGAGAAACCGAATTACAAAATATTGGTGATAGAGCTGATGTAGAATTAAAAAGTCCTTCAGCCTGGCAGTATGTTCTTTTTTTCCTTTTTCTGCATGTTCTTAGATTTTAGAAATTCTGGACCTTTGAAGTGATGTTTTATAAATCAACTCAAGAATAATACAATACATAATGACTTTCTACTTGATTTTTTTTTTAAACAAATGAGTCCTCAAAATATTGTTTGCCTCTTACTTAAAATAAGTTGGCAATCTTTTATCAAGTATTCAAGGAATGGTGAGCCAAAAGACCAGCTCTGGAAACTTTTAGGAAACTAATTATTGAGAACAAGATTTGTACCTACAAAAACAAAGAAGGAGTTGAAGCAATCAAATAATTTAATTTGAGAGTAAATACTTATGCTTTGAGATATCTTATTTATGGGAAGAATATTTGGCTGGATCTCTTATATTTAACAGGGCTTCCCTGATAGCCCAGTTGGTAAAGAATCTGCCTGCAATGCAGGAGACCCCAGTTCAATTCCTGGGTCAGGAAGATCCCCTGGAGAAGAGATAGGCTACCCACTCCAGTATTCTTGAGCTTCCCTGTGGCTCAGCTAGTAAAGAATCCACCTGCAATGCGGGAGACCTGGATCCGATCCTTGGGTTGGGAAGGTCCCCCAGAGAAGGGAAAGGCTACCCACTCCAGTATTCTGCCCTTGGGGTGGAAAAGAGTTGGGCATGACTGAGCGACTTTTACTTTCACTTCACTTATACTTAACTGGATGACTTTATAGTCTGTACTGGAATGGAATGAAATTGTGAAAATCTGTGACTTTGTAGCATCTAAATTTGGCAAAACATTTTTAAAAATCATAGAGACAACTTACTTGATGAGTTTCATCTCATAAAATATCTGTCACAGTTTCCATGAATGACAAAGGGATGACACCTGTGAAAAGATTGGGACTGAAATAGTAACACATTTCAATTTAAAAAATTAGAATTGGGAATATTTTCCACTTATCAGAATTACTTCTTCACTTACCAGGTACCTCAGCACCTGTAGAAAGAATATTTTTCTTAATTAGAAATTCTGTGGTCAACTGAGAGGAGTTATTTTCTTACTAACCAGAGCTATTGGCCTCCTCAATCAATAGAAACTGATAAGAGGCAGGACAGGAAATCCAGACAAGGCTTTACTGGGGCCCCTGCTGCAGTGGGAGAGAGCAAGAGCAAGGAACAAATTCCCTTGCTTGCTTGGGTGCTCCCTCACTGAGCAGGGGTGAGGTGGTTCCTCATATGGGGTGAAGGTAGGGGTGTGTCCAAGGGTCCAGCACCAAGGGGTAGCTAGGGGGTTTGCCTGCCCCTTGGGTGGTGTTGAGTGCAGGGGGCAGGCCCAGCACCCCGCTTTTGCTTCTGGTTCTTCAGAAGTGGCAGTTGGTCTTTTGGTGGTTTTGTATCTTGTTGTCGGTAAGTGGCCCTAACTGCGCATGCTGGCAGCTATTTTTAGTCCCATGTTATTTCTTTGTATTTATTGTTCAAGGAGACGTTTTTCCAGGTGCAGTCTCTGCAGCAAAGGGACCCCGGTCCCAGGTCCCAAACCCATCTCAAATCTATGGTCAGTAAGTTTTTTGAGGAAAGGGTTGCTGCATGGCATGTGGGATCTTAGTTCCCTCACCCGGGATGGAATCCACACCCTTTGCCGTAGAAGCACGGAATCTTAACTGTTGGACAGCCAGGGAAATTCCAAAAATTTTAAATATCTCGATATGAAATGCAACTTGGAAAAGATTGCAGGCAATTTTATGAAAAAATAGAAATATAAATGTTAAAAATACATTGTTTAGAAAAATACCTGTTCCATAGTATTATATATAGATTTGACTCTAGAATTTATTACAATAAATGTTTATGAATAAGATTATTCTGCTAATGTTATTTTTAACTCCTTAGATCTAAATAATTTTAAATGTCTTGCATGAATAGATGCTGATTTTTTTTAATTTGTAGAAATGATTTTATTTTTGAAAATAATTTTTGGCAGAAATTATTTTATGGGCCTACTGTCACGACTACACCAAAGCCTTCGACTGTGTGGATCACAATAAACTGTGGAAAATTCTGAAAGAGTTGGGAATACCAGACCACCTGACCTGCCTCTCGAGAAACCTGTATGCAGGTCAGGAAGCAACAGTTAGAACTGGACATGGAACAACAGACCGGTTCCAAATAGGAAAAGGAGTACGTCAAGGCTGTATATTGTCACCCTGCTTATTTAACTTATATGCAGAGTACATCATGAGAAACGCTGGGCTGGAAGAAGCACAAGCTGGAATCAAGATTGCCGGGAGAAATATCAATAACCTCAGATATGCAGATGACACCACCCTTATGGCAGAAAGTGAAGAGGAACTAAAAAGCCTCTTGATGAAAGTGAAAGAGGAGAGTGAAAAAGTTGGCTTAAAGCTTAACATTCAGAAAACTAAGATCATGGCATCTGGTCCCATCACCTCATGGGAAATAGGTGGGGAGATAGTGGAAACAGTGTCAGACTTTTTTCTTTTGGGGTCGCAAAGAGTCAGAATGACTGAGTGACTGAACTGACTGAACTGACTGACCGTTATGATAAAACCTACTTGGGAATCTATGAATGCCTACTTAAACATATATTTTTTAAATACTTAAAACATATTTTTCTCTCATTCACTTTCAAAATTGTCCCCAGTGTGGATTATAAATTACATAGTTCCATAGTAGTTAAAAACAGATGCCTATTTTTAGTGTTTTTTTTTTTAACCCTGCTGTCTCATTTATAACTTAGGGCAATGTTCCACAATCATCCATCCATTTCCGGATTCCTGAACACTAGGAAGAGAAGACTGATTATGACTTCTATGATCAGGAAGTAGTTTGTGCATTGGACATTGGATGGTCTCACCAGCTCCTTCCCCAGTTCACTTTGGTTTTTCTCTCCCCAAAGCCACGCCATTCAGTGACTTCCACCTCTCACTCGGCCAGCTCTGGGTTGAGTCAGTAAGCATTTAAAAAGCTGTTTATTTTGTTTTGGTAATTATATTTGCCTTCATTGTGTATCTTTAACAAATCATTTTATTGTTTATTTACATTGCAGTACATAGTTCCTTTCTGTATAGAAGGAAAATGTAATTCTTTCAGTATTGTAGCATTCTGCACACAAGCATATTCACTAGTCAGTTCATTAAGAGTCAAATAATTAGGTAATTGGTATATTAAATGCCCTATATCATGCAGAAATCCACAGTGGGTTGTTTCATAAGTGATTAGAAATATAGGTAATACAGGGAACACATTGTTACTTTCCCCTTTAATGTAAGAGAATATGGGCTTCTGCTGCCCACAAATTCCCTACCCAGTGGAATTTCAGGTATGGATTAGACTCAGATAACAGGGGCCACCTATATCTATTGAATGGTTTATTATTTTCCCAGCTTTACTGAAGCATAATTGACATATAACACTGGGTCAGCTTAAGGTGTCCAGTGTGTTGATTTGATGCCCTTATGCACTGCGAATGATCACCACCATGGGTTGCACTGAGGGACTGTTTAAGATGCCAGGCACTCTTTCAGCCCTGGGGGTTCAACAGTGAACACACAGTCTTTGTCCTTGTAGAGCTTTGGTAGGGGGGAGAAGGACACGAAAATAAATATAAACTATGGGGGGTGGAGATGCATGTTAAAGAGAAAAATGAACCAAGTGAGGGGCACTAGACGGATGAGGGAGGTGCTGTTTTATTTAGGCAGAGAAACGGTTCAGCGGAGAGACAGAGTGAGGTGGTGAAGCAAGCCATTAGAATATCTAGGGGAAGGGTGGTGGGCCAGGAGGATGCCTGGGGGGCTGGAGGAAGAGGGGAGAGGAGGAGAAGACAGAGGGTGGGTGGAGGAGATCTTGGAGGGCCTTGGAGGCCAGCGTAAGGACTTTGGATTTCACCCTCAGTGAGACGGGAAATCACTGAGAAGATTTGAACAGAGGAATGATATAGCTTGGGCTTCCCAGGTGGCGCTAGCGGTAAAGAACCTCCCTGCCAATGCAGGAGATAATAAGAGCCGCAGGTTTGACCCCTGGGTCGGGAAGATCCCCTGGAGGAGGGAACGGCAACCCACTTCAGTATTCTTGCCTAGAGAATCCCACGGAAAGAGGAGCCTGGCGGGCTACAGCCCATGGGGTCACAAAGAGTCAGACACGACTGAAGCGACTTAGCATGAAGCACACATGATACAGCTTACATTTGCCAGGGATCATTCTGACTGTGGTACAGAAAAAAAAAACTCTTGGTATGGGCATGTGTGCACATCTGCTTGTGTGTGTGCATGTATGTATGTGCACGTGATGGGAAACAAAAGTCTAGAAATGGGCAACTAGTGAGAAGACTCTTGCCAAGGTCCAGACAACACACGATGAAAGCTTAGGCTAGAGCGGTCACACCGGAAGTGGTAAGAAACAGCAGATATTTTGAGAGCAAAGCCTAAATGATTTGTGATGAAGTGGAGGTAGGAGAAACTTGAAGCCTTTTGGCCTGGTTATGAGAAAGGAAGGAGCTGCCATCTTGCTGAGCAAGGGGAGGGGGAGAGAGAAGCACGTTTAGCTGGGCTGGGGTCGGGGAGACCAGAGTTTGGTTTCCAAAGTACTAAACTGGAGTTGCCTCCAAGACATCCCAGTGGAAATGGAGTGGTTGATTACTTATCTCCCTAAGCCTGGTTACTTCATCCAAAGACTGAACCTCTTAATAATACCCACCTACTCCACCAGAGGATTACTGGGAGGGTGAAGAGTTATGAGGTTTCAAGTACTTTGCCAGAGCTCATAGTAACCACTCAAATGTTACTGTCACGAATATGCTTGATTAATTCACATTTTCTGAGAAAATGAACACAGAAAGGAAATACCACATACTTGAGTGTAACAGAGTCCATCCCTAGAGTCATAGAATGGGAGCCAGAAGTGATCTTTAGTCTCCAATAATTCCAACCCTCGTCTTATGGATGGGGAGACTGACGGATGGCCAGAGACCAGGGAGGCTCGTGGTGAATCTAGAATCTGGGTCCGGAATCCAGGGCCACTGCCCCTGAGGTCTGTAGTCCTCCCATGACACAGTACTTCCCACGGAACATTTCCCCCTCCAGAGTCTCAATTTTAAAGATGTTTGCTAAAAACCCAAGATGTTTAATGCTTAGCAAGGCTTCTCAGAGGTTTACTCTTCACAGAACAGGGGGCAATCTGGGCTTTGGGGGAAGGTTCATTGTGGGTGAGGCTCACACCACCCCTTTTTCAGAAGTGTGAGATGCAGGAGGAGTGATCAAACACGTCATAAGCTCCAGGGGACCAGGCCTCAGCATCCACCCGTGTATGTAAGGCTCTTTTCTTGGGTGAAAATATCCCAGGATGGGGTGGGAGATGGCAGGAGGGTTCAGGAAGGAGGGGAATATGTATACCTGTGGCTGGTTCATGTTGATATATGGCAGAGGCCAACACAGTTTATAAGGCAATTATCCTCCAATATAAAAAAAAAAAAATAGAGGAAAAAAGATATCTCAGGATCCAGCTTTCTAAGTCACCTGGGCCCATTCAGCCAGAGCGACCTGGAGGACCAGAGAGATGTATCTAGAAAAGTCAATGCTCCCGAGAGGTTTCTTTGCTTCTCATCCCACCATATTTCCTCTTGCCCTCCACCAACTTCCGGGTTAATGCTGCTCAGAAATTACACATGTCTGATCATTTCCGTTCATCTTCAGATGGTGATTAATGCATAATTTATTCTTGAACCCTTTTGAGAGGCTGAAGTTTCTGCAGAAGGGCTTTGTGGCAGGCCTGGGAATGAGAGCATCAGATCCTTTTCCATTAGAGCCTGCAGCAGCTGTGAGTGCTAGAACGTCGCGGGGGCGGGGGAGGGGGGTAGGTTAATACTCAGGGCTTTCTAACTCTTCCCAAAGTGGGGACTTTTCACCACTGAACCAGAGGAACCGACCAACCCCTTGTCCATTGTAAAGCGCTCAGCTGATCATGCTGACGATCTAGAGGGGCTCTCCTCCAGCCAGAAACTCTAAGCCCCGCCTTGTAGTTTAGCCCTGCTCATCTTGGGGAGCGGGAAGGTGGCAGGCAGCAGGCCCCAGCAGAGCAGATGGAGTGTGAGAGGACGGAGGGGCTGGGCTCTCCTCAGAGCCCACAGCGCCGCTTCCCTACCCAGCATCCATTCTCCCCTCTCCCTTGGCGACAAGCACTAATTTTGTTTGTTGCAGGAATGTTGCAAATTCCTAATGAGCCTATGAGATGGAAGAGAAGCCTACTGAATGGAGCTTCTGGGAGAACTCTTGCATTTCTGATAAAAAAAAAAGCACAGGTGTGGAGTAGGAATTTTGATCATGAAAATGAGAGTCCCAGACCAAGGATGGCAAAGCAGAGGGACACAGGAGCATGGGACTTGGCCACCACTGAGGGTGTGCTGTCCCAGGTCCCCACTCAGAACTCTTGTTGGGTGAGAAGACATCACCCTTTTGTACCTTCTTTGCCATGTGCTGGATGTTATGCCTGATCCTTCAGGGATGTTCCGCCCTCTTCCTCCTCCTGAGTCCTTTCACTGAGCAAAGGGCTCTTGAAATTTCACACTATTTCTGACCCAAACCTTCCACTCTGCAATACCCAAATGACTATTTCTTTCCTTTTCTTGCCTTTCCTCCCCATCCCACACCAATGACCTAATCAGTGATTATCACTGTGGATATCTGAGAATGGATACAAATGAAGGAGAGAGGAGTAGAGGGCTACTGGAGTGGGAGAAAACGGCCAGGAGAAGGGAAATCATCAAAAACAAAGCCTGGAGTTAGAGCTTAAAGAGCTTCATCATTATTAATTTAGGGAGCTTAAAGAGGGTTGGCGACAAGAAAAGGGCAGTAAAAAAAAAAAATCCCAGTGACGAGCCTGCCAGGCAGGAGAAGATGGTCCAGTCCTCTGAGAGCCAGGCGGATCCCAGGCCTCTCATTTCCTGTGTTCCTCCACTGGGTCGGGGCATGGGGGGAGTGCGTGGTGCTGGCCGCAGGCCCCAGGGGGCAGACGGCGGCGCAGAGCAGCCCTCCAGAGGCTGCCCCACCCACTGTGGGCTGTCGGCTGGGCTTGAGCAGGCTCAGCGGTGCTGGGCAGTCTCGTAGGGGCATGTCTGATGGAATATGAAAACTATTTAATCATGGGTCTGGCCTGGATATTGACCAGTCAGAATGGAAATCGCCTACCATGCTAAATCCCAGGGTGCAGGCAGGAGCCCTCTGCATCAAACTTGGCCCATTTCGTAAAGATGCTGGGTTGTTGGGGGTAGACCACAGGTTTTAGGAGAGGAGTGGGCACAGCTTGAGGCAGTGGCTAGGAGATGGCTTGGGGAGGGATTTTCTTGGTCAACCAATATGCAGCATTTCAACATCCTAACAGCGAGTCCAGTTGCCCTGGTGCACGCTGGCCGAATTCCCGCCTTGGAGCATCATCCCTGTAATTTGTGCTTCTGTGAGGACTGAACCACATTTGAGCCACGACAAAGCACAGGATCTCTTTGGTGGAATCCCTCATTGGCTCCGCTGGAGAAAGTTAATTAGGCAGCGTAGGTGACGATTTCCAAGAACCCGAGTGTCAAGCAATACCAAGGCTAGTTACCCCTGACCTTTCTGAGTTTTCCAAGTGTGCTTTTCCCTGTGGGGTTGAGGGGTGCTCTGCCTTCCCTCCATACAGCCCTCTTTGGTCTCCTTCCCTCTTGGAGCTCTTATTCTCAATTCCCCGGCAGGTCCTGGGGAACTTTAATCAAAGGCAGGGAGAAGGCAGCTCATGGGTTGTCATTAGGATGATAGGATGTGAAATGACCACTGGATTGTTTTCATTTCTCCAAGACAGCAGCCTGGGGTTTGGTGCTGTCAGCTCATTAGAGGATGTCACTGAGAAATGCAAAACAGCCCCATTCCAGCACCATCAGCCCCTTCTAATTCCCTCAGCCTGGACAGGAGAGCTGGAGCGCGCTAATCTGAGCGCATCACCTGGGAGTGGAGCTGTTGCTGGGCCCACTCAGAGGTGGCCGCAGGGCTTTCAGGCACTTTGTTTTCTTTTTTTGCACATAGCAGGTATATTTCCACAATGTATATGTCTGTGAGATATCTCTCTCCGTCTCTACTTCTCCTTCTACATCATTTGCCTACCTTGTTCCCAAAGGGATTTACGGCCAGTTTCAACCTGACAGATTGTTGTTTAGTCTCTAAGTCGTGTCCCATGTCTCTTTTGTGACCCATGGACTGTAGCCCGCCAGGCTCCTCTGTCCATGGGATTTCCCAGGCAAGAATACAGGAGTAGGTTGCCATTTCCTCCTCCAGGGGATCTTCCTGACCCAGGAATTGAACCTGCGTCTCCTGCGTTGGCAGGCAGATTCTTTACCACTGTGCAGCCTGACATTCTTCAGTTAAAACCTGAGCTAGGCAGCTCTGAGATATTAACCTCTTTATGAAAAGAGAAAATAGGAGATAATAGTTCCCTTGGTAAAACAATTCTTGACTTTAAACAAATGATATACTTTCTGACTTTTCGATATGATTTAAGCTACCTAAATTTATGATAAAATAAGAAGCCCTTCATTACAGCAGAGTGCATTCTGAATGGCCTCACAGTGCTTCTCTTTCCTTCTCCTAAAATACCTTGATGCCAGAGGATCCCAGGGTCCAAAGGTAGCTCAGCCGGACATGCAGCAAGTAGAAACTTCCTCAAGGTCACATAGTCTAAGTGTGAGTGGTGCTGTAGCATCCTATTCCATAGCCTGTCTGTTTAAAAGAGGGTTTGTACCCAGCCTGTGATATTGCAGAGGTTCCACTCATCCGCCCAGACTTCTGGCGGGGCTGACACTCCTCCCCAAGATCTGCCAAGATTGCCTGGCACCTCTGCCTGTGAAGCTTGTTTTCCCATCTGTAGCCCAGGAGAAGGAGAAGCCTCGGAGAGACCAGCGGCCTGGAGTTCAGACCAACTCTGGCACTTCTAGGCCTTCTTGGCAGCCAGAACCCAGACTCTTTTATCCTCAGTATTGGATTCTCAGGACAGTCTGTTCTACTTCTGGGCCTGATGACCAAAAGAGAGGATCTGGAAATGCAAGTGGATGTGTTGCCAGCTTTCAAAAATGTCTAATGGCTTTAGGTTTGAGTTGGGGTAAAGCCTCTTTCTTGTGTACGGTTGACCCTTGGACAATGTGAGTTTGAACTGTGTGGGTCACTGATCCATGAATTTCTTTCTCTAAATACCTGTTATAGTACTGCATGATCTGGGGATTGGTTGAATCTGTGCATGTGGAACTACATATACTGAAGGTTGATTGAAGAGTTAAACTTGTATTTCCAACTGTGCAGAGGATTGGTGTTCAAGGGTAAACTGTAGAAATATTTCTATGTGTAAAATAGGTCAGAGAGAAATAAAATATTACAAGGGCTATTTATGTCTTAACATGCATAATTAGTGATTGCCAAATACCATTGTAAGGAAGCAGGCTCCTAGGAGAAGTGGCTGATTTCAGTCCAGGGGAGTAAATATACAAGATGACCCTAGAGGATCTTGTCATCCTGAAATGTAAGCAAACTTTTCAAGACTACAGAGATGTGTCAAAAAGACTCAGAAACCCACCTGAATAAGCTCCACATATCCAAAGATGGGACAATTTAGGCATCAGAAAAGGTAATCACTGAAGTGGTTGGAACACACTCAGTTCCTTTATACTTCAAATTATACATGATTCTTATAAGAAAAAAATCTTACTCATCAGGTTTGGAGGAGTCTAGGAAATAACCTTAATATTTTGAAAACTGGTAAATGAAAGAATTAAACATTAGCTTACATTTACTCTCTGAATCCTATCTCAGGGAAACCAAATAGTTGATTAGAAAGTTTTTCTTTATCCCAGTATTAGTGCTAATGAATAAAAAATGAATGATGAAATTAAAAATGTAACATTTTGCAGCCCCTCATGAATAAATGGATCCAGGGCAGGGTGTACCAACTTTGGACTATTGACATTTGGGGCCGGAAGATTTTCTGTGGTGGGGGACTGTGCATTGTACAACATCCCTGACATGCACCCACTAGATTCCAGGGGCATCTCTTCCCACACCTGGGACGGCCAAAGATGTCACAGGACATTGTCAGGTGTTCCCCGGGAGAACAAAATGCTCCTCAGCTGAGAAACAGTGCTGTAGGCAGTAATCACCACTGGCTGTGATAACATCGCAAAAATAGTGACAACCAGACTTCATGCATCTCCTGGTGGAAGTACACACCACCACCTTTGAAATTCTTACCAAATCAGAACAAAAACAAATTGGTCTGAACTCAGTCTCTATTCTATTGGGTTGACCAAGAAATTCATTCCGGTTTTTTCTAGAAGATGTTATGGAAACCCAATAATTTCCATAGACATCTCTGTTTCTCTCTCTCTCTCTCACACGCGCGCACACACACACACACACACACACACACACACACACACACACTAACCAGCATTACAAGAGTGCAATCAGCGAAATCTGGACTGTGTCAAATGCTAAGGGCACATGACATACTTTATTCAGCAAAAAATTGTAAGGAACAAGCAGTGACACATGAGGAACCTAGAGACTGAAAGAGTGTTATAATAAGAGGCATATCAACCAATTACACTGTCTAGCTCATATTTGTATCCCGTTTTAAACAAACTTAAAAACTACAAGATTCTTGAGAAAATTTAATGACATCAAGGAATTATTATTGATATTAATTTTTTAGGTGTGTTGTGAATATATTTTTAAAAGTCCCTCTATTTTAGTGATATGTACTGAATAATTATGGATGAAATAATAGGAAGCCTGGGATTTGCTTTACAATAATCCAAACAAGGTGCATAGATGAAATAAAATTGGGCATATATTGATAACTGTTGAAGATAGTTAATGTTTATTGTGCTTTTCATACGTTTGACTATCTTCATAATAAAGTTTTTAAAAAAGTTTAAAAAAATGCCCGAACTCTCAGGAGAAGTTCCAACATGAAAAGAAGGTGACATTCAGTCCACCCCATCTCGGGGTGCCTCCCAGGGTCTGACGCTAATAACACAGTAGTCAGGCAACGAGAGTTCCATTTCCTGACCTGGAGCCCAAGTCTGCATGGTGCTCAGGAGTGAATGGAGATGAATAGAAGGGTCAGCCCCATCCTCATGGTAATTAGCCATTAATTGCTCTAAGTAGTAGATTAACTGACTCACAATTTTCGTAAATGTATTGGCCCTCCAGTTAATGAAGAGCCTAATGCAGTGCTTTTTGGCATATATCATTTCTTTGCAGGACTGGCATGTCCTTATCTCCAAACTACTGAGCTTGGCTTGAGAGGGCATGACAGCTGCTCCAATTTTGGGCTTGAAGAAACTGGCGTGGCAGAGAGTAGAGAGACCCGGGGATACAGGCTGGAAAGGATAAGTCCAGGTGAATTAATAATGGATATGCACTTCCTGCAAGCCTGCAGGCTCAGGGAGCCTTACCGGGTCTGCTGCCAGGATGATGGTTTTGGAAAGTTAACTCTGTTCCATCCCCTCTCTCCCCTGGCCCTTCCTTATTCTTTCTTTGCCAGCTCTGCCCCCCCCCCCCCACCCCAAACCCCTCTTGCCCTCCTCAAAAGCCTCAAAAGCGGCCAAGCCATCTGATGCTCCCGGCCCTGGGGGAAGGATGTGGGAGAGTGGAGAGCAAATGGCCTGCCTGCTTGTTGCTGTCTCACACAGGTTCAAAGGACTACGCCCTTAGGGAGAAATGTCAGGAGACAGGCAGGCTCGCTGTGCCCATCATTACCCCCAAATCTAGCCAGGGTTTTCCCTGAGGATAAGACAGAAGTAAAGACAGTGGGTAAATGATGATCAGATGGAGAGGCGCTCTGCCTCCTCCCTCCAGGGCTGGCCGAAGAGTGAGGCCAGGCCGGTGGCCTCAGCAGACAGTCCAGAGACTTCCACGGCCCTGAGTGGCACAGGCTGGACCAGGCTGACCTCCCTGCCCTTCCCTCGTCTGTGCAGAGAAAGTGGGAGGCGCCTGATGGACAGCGGTGAAAACTCTTGGTGGACCTGTGGCAAATGGCTGCCCCCCACACCTACACCCAGACCGGTGCCAGCCTCTCTGACAGGATCTTGTGTTGTGCTGTACCGAGTTGCGTCCAACTCTTTGCGACCCCATGGACTGTAGCCCACCAGGCTCCTCTGTCCATGAATTCTCCAGGCAAAAATACTGGAGTGGGTTGCCATTTCCTTTTCCAGGGCCTCTTCCTGACCCTGGGTCTCCTGCGTGGCAGGCAGATTCCTTACCACTAAGCCACCTGGACTCCATGTAAAATGCTCGGCCCTCATGAATGAGACTAGTGCCTTTAGAAAAGGGACCCCAGAGAGCTCCCTCCCCTCTTCTGCCCTGTGAGGTTATAGTGAGAAGATGGACATCTGTGAACCAGGAAGGAGAGTTTCACCAGGAACCTAATCTGCTGTCATCTTGACCTAGGACTTCTTGGCTTCCACAACTATGAGAAATGAATTTCTGTTGGTTTTAAGTCACCTGTATGGTATTTCATTATAGCTGCTGCACACCTGATATTTATTCAGTTGCAAACAAGCCCGCTCTCTGTGAAAACAGAGATCGACAAAGCAGATGTATTAGTGGATAGTTAGTCGCTTTGAGATAAATCACCTTCCCACCTGTTCCTCTGCTGTCTCCAGGGCCACAGCCTGGAAGAAAGACACAGAGGCAGCAGTCCCACCACGCCAAGTAGATCCTTTCTCCTAACATCTCACTAATCTGACCACTTTTCTCCATCTCCCCTGCCGATGCACTGCTCAGGCCACTTTCGTCTTGGTTCCAGACTGTTGCAATCTATCTAACTAACTGCAGGCCTCCCAGTAGACAGCACTTCCTTTCCACACTTCTCTCCAAGGCTGGGTTAAGTGACTGACTTGTATGTCCTTCTACATTGTATTGCAACCATCCTAACCTTTCTGTTTCCCACATCAAGCTTCTCTGCTTGCACGTTGATCTCTTTGTCCGCATGTCAGAAGTAGGCGGCACATTGTGATTGCACAAAGGAACTGAAAGGTAGGGGTCAGAATATTTTAAAACGTATGTTTTTTTCATCGTATTTACTCGTTTTTACATTTTGGTGTGAAAACACCAGTCTATTTAGTGACTTGAACTTAATTGGCTTAGGAAATAGATCTTTTCTTTCTATCTTTACCTTTGACTTTTCAGCACAGATTAAGATTTGCATAACCTGGTGGCTCAGATGGTAAAATGTCTACCCACAATGCGGGAGACTCAGGTTCCATCCCTGGGTTGGGAAGATCCTCTGGAGAAGGCAGTGGCAACCCACTCCAGTACTCTTGCCTGGAAAATCCCATGGACAGAGGAGCATGGTGGGCTGCAGTCCGTGGGGTCGCAAAGAGTTGGACACGACTGAGCGACTTCACTTTCACTTTCATTTTCAACCTAACATGTAGGCTTCCCTGGTGGCTCAGTGGCAAAGAATTTGCCTGCCAATGCAGGAAATGACGGTTCAGTCCCTGGGTCAGGAAGATCCCCTGGAGAAAGAAGTGGTAATGCACTCCAGTATTCTTGCCTGGTAAATCCCATGGATAGAGGAGCCCGGTGGGCTACAGTTCATGGGGTCACAGAGTTGGATATGACTTAGCAACCGAACAACAACAGCTTAACATGTGTTGAGAGTCATGTCTCAGGCATGGGGATAGGGGTGTGTGTGTGTCTATACTGTCTTTCTCACAGGTTTTCATCAGCTAGTTGGGGATAATAATTGGGCCTGTTAGCAAATAGAGCTGTAAAGAGTGGATTTACATCTTGAAAGAGTGTGCTTCCCTTAGCACCTGTGTTTTCACTAGAAAGGTATCCATTCCCTGGAAGGACTAAGCCAAGTGTCGCCAATGGTTTTGAGGTCTCCTAATCAATACACATCTATCCATCCATCCATTCATGAGGGCTTCAAAATGATCAGAAGAAAACTTCGAGTTTTATATTGTTAAAGAAATAAGGTCAAATGTTATATTTTTAAACCTTTTACAAGTCACTCTCAGCAGCAAACCTCTTCCTTTCTATCCATGTGATGACTTCTGGCAACTTGATTCTGCTTTCAAATTGAATGGGAGGAATTTTTATGAGATGAAGTAGCTTCCTGAAATTAAAAGTCAATTTGAAAGAAAAGACTTCATGAGAAATAGCACTGGAGACAAAACAGGGTTTCTAAAAAGTGATATTTTCGTATAGGAAAGTAAAAATCAAGTCTTAATTCTCTCCTCTCATTTAGCCATGGGTAAAATCTTCCGGATGTTTGCAGTCATTGGTCTAAGATCTGTGCAATCAAGCTGTCCAATCTCTGCTTGCCTGACAGCGGTTTCAAAGACAGAATACCTGGAAGAGGACTCCGTGGCTCCAGGAAACAGTTGTGGAGCTGGGTATCGGTGACAGCTCTTGTGAGCTACTAAGACTTAGCAGAGGGAAGGAGAAAATGTCCTTCCTTCTTCCTTCATCAAGCCATGTAAAAAAAACTGGAACAAGATGCTGTCTGTTCTGATGATGTGGGTGAGAAGCACCTGTCACAGAAGATGTGAATTGAGTGAGATCTGAGGAGACTGCTCAGGGGCAGAGAAAGAGGAGAAGGGAGCTGGAGGAGCATCAGTCAAGGCGGGGAAAGAAGAGCCTGCGTGGAGGGATGAGGCAGGGCGGTGAGATCACAGGTGTGTGGAAGAGGTTGGGGAAGACCGAGCCGGGAGTCAGACAGGTGGCCCTGATTCCTTCGACCTCAGGAGAGCCTGACAGACAGAACGGCATTCCCTATAGTGATTAGACGCTAGAAGACCACAAAGAAATTGGATCTGGGGCCATGTCAAGTTCATTCCCTTCTTTTCAGCAGGCTTATTTGGTTGCGGTCAGAGCACGCAGTGTGGACCCTAGAGATGCTGGGAGGTGCTGACCCCATGCTGCACTGAGGAGAGGCAAAGACATCTTGGCAGGAGTCAGTGTTATGGGTTGAGCTGGGTACCCCTACATTTCACATATTGAAGTCCTGACCCCTAGGATTTGAGCATGTGACCTTATTTGGAGGTAGGTCTTTAAGGAGGTAATCAAGTTAGAGTAAAGGCATTAGATTGGATCCTGATCCAGAAGGATTGGTGTCTTTGTGAGAAGGGGGCATTTGGATATGGGGACACACACCCAGGGAGAATGCAGTATGAACATAAAGATGGCCATGTGCAAACCAAAGATGGAAGCATGAAACACGTGCAAGTCTGCCAACACCTGGACATCAGACTTGTAGACCCCAGAGCTGTTTCTGTTGTTCAGGCCACCCCATGGGTAGTGCTTTGTTGCAGCAGCCACAGCAAACCAATGCACTAGTCCACGCTAGTAGCCTCTTTCCTTCAAGGGAGCTTAGAGAAAAGAAGGATTCTTGAGACTCTGCGAAGCACGGTGGTTTTCTTCTGTATAAGACCTGGAAACCCCAATGGCATTTACATCAATGAAACAACTGGCCCATATCTCAGCTGATTCAGTGATTTCTGCCATTTTAACAGTGTTTGTTGGTCCATGATAATTATGCATTTGCTGCAAGATCCATTATAAATTGACTAAAGAATCCAGCAGACACGTGTCAGTTCTGTGCCTGTTTGCAGAAAAACAGCAGTGAGCTAGGCTGAGAGGCTCTGAGTGAGAGCTGTTGAGTCTTCCCTGAGGCTCCCATCCATTCTATGGCTGGTCTCCCTGTGTCTCTAGCCATCGTCACTGCTGATTATGAGGTTGGAGAAGGATATGAAGTGTGGTGCCGAAAAGATTGCCCAAAGTGCTGTCTCTCTCTATGGGGCTTTTCATTGGATTCCCTTCCATTTGAAGAGAACAAACCATTAGGGCGAGAACAAGCATTCCTGTTTCCTTCATTGTTAATGTGATTCCTTGAAAGTGTTGTTTTTCTTTCTTTCCTTATCCCCTCCTCCTAAAAAAACATGTAGAAAGCATGAATGCAGATTAGGATACAATTATCCTCATAGTGAATCAGTTCACTGGATGTGCCATATTGATGCTCACCCTAGGAATGACCTGGCAACAGCATAATAAACTATTTGGAGGAGAAATGTTAGAGCTGGGAGGAGAGTGAGTGAGCACATGGGTTAGAGAAGACCCACAAATGTGGCCAGTGCACTCTGAATTTGGGTGAGCCCCAAACCCTCTTTGGCTGACACACCCATCAAAGCCCTCACCCTTTTCTGTGGCTGCTTCTCTACGGATGTATCTTAACACTCAACATTTTTTCTAGGTCTCAGGTGCAATGCTGTGTTTCCTATCTCTGCAACTCACTCAGGTCCTGCAGTGTTTAAAATTCCGATAGGACTATTGAAACAGTCCATCAAAGTAATAAAAAGGGAGAAGGTGTTAGATGGGAGCCGAAGGTAGAGAGACATGCCTACAGGAATGAGCTCCGTAGAAGTAGGTGGTTTTGCATCATGTCATGTTCCTCAAATATTCTCTTCCAGTGGTCTTCCCAAATTGTTTACACAGAAGACCTTCCCACCCATCAGAGAGAGGTCCCTGAACCCAGATCCTTGATTTTCTAGCTTCACGACTTAGGCAAGTTTTTAGCCTCTTTTTTTTTTTTTTTCTTTTGAACTTTTTATCTTGTATTGGAGTATAGCTGATTAACAATGTTGTGATGGTTTCAGGTTAACAGTGAAGGGACTCAGCCATACAAATACATGTATCCATTCTCCCCCAAACTCCCCTCCCATCCCGGCTGCCACATAACATTGAGCAGAGTTCCCTGGGCTGTACAGTAAGTCTTTGTTGGTTATCCATCATAAATACAGCAGTAACCTCTTGAGTCTCAGTGTTCTTAATCTTCAATCTTAACCTTCAACTTTAACCTCAGCCTTAAAGTGGACAAAACTTATCCACTGCAAAGTGAAAAAATAAACTGTGGCAGATTCACATCATGGGGTATTCTGAAGCTATGGAAAATCTGAGCAAACTCCGAGAGATAGTGAAGGACAGAGGAGCTTGGCATGCTGCAGTCCATGAGATCATAAAGAGTCAGACATGACTTTGCAACTGAACAACAATGGATATGAGAAATCTGCAACCACACACAATGCACAATATAGATACACAACACAGCTACACAAAACAATAAGGATGAATCTCACAAACATAATGTTGAAAGTAAGAAGTCAGAAAGAAAAGGGTATGACACCACTTAGATAAAGTTCAAAGCTTGATGAAACTCATTTATGCTATTCAAGGTTGGGCTGGTGGTTACACTCGAGGGGCTGTGCCCGGACAGGAGCAGGACAGGGCTGGACGTGTCTTGTCTCTTGTTCTGGGTGGTGATTACTTGGGTGTGTTCATTTTGTGAAATGTACTGAGTTCTATGCTTTAAAAATGTGTGGAATTTTCTATATATGTTATACGTTAATAAAAAGTTAATTTTAAAAGGCAGATTATAATAGTTTCTAGCTCATAGAGAGAAGAGGGTTAAATGAAAAATACCAAACCATAGTAAGGGCTTAGTGTGCATGCATGCTAAGTCGCTTCAGTCATGTCCAACTCTTTGCGACCTCATGGACTGTAGCCCGCCTGTCTCCTCGGGCCCTGGGATTCTCCAGTCAAGAATACTGGAGTGGGTTACCATTTCCTATTCCAGGGGATCTTCCTGACCTAGGGATCAAACTCACGTCTCTTATGTCTCCTGCGTTGGCAGGTGGGTTCTTTACCATGAGCACCACCTGGGAATGTTAGTAATTGGTTATTGTTATTATTCTTGTTTTCCTGATGAAGGCGTTGGTGACAAAGTTAGTTCCTTTGTCACATCTGGATATGCCTGTGACACTCCAGTGTCTTTAAATAGGAAGGCATATAAAGTGCCCAGTTCATCAGAGACAAGTCCTTTTACATCGTGTCTCATCCAGAATTGCACATCCCAGTGGACGAAAAAATAAAAGAGAAAAGTCAGCCTAAGTAATCTGACTCAGGATATGATTCGCCAACTATTTTTTTTAATGTTGATTAAAAACACAATACAAAACCAAAACCTACCCTGTGTCCTCCTGAGTGTGCAAAATAACTTGGCAGAAAGAAGAGGCGGGTTTCTGCTGTTCTTAAACTGGTTGCTTCCTCTCATTTCCTCCTGGGATAAAAATAGCAGTTTAATCTATTGACACATAAAAGCCTTTCAAAGTACCAATCCCATTTGGAGCCGTTACCCTTCATTGTTGATTTTCTGTAATACAGATGTTTTTGGCATAATGTATGTTCCACAATGTCCTCTGTCAGCTCAGTAAAGAAGACAAACTGCGGCCTGATCTTGAAAACAGGGCCTCTCCAGAAGCCAGCTGACATAAGCTCAATTGGGTTTCACCCCACATAAAGATTTTAATAAACAAACCTCACTGGTCAGCATCTTACTTCGGCATATTGAAACATACCACATGCTTTCTGCTCTTCTGCATAGTTTGCAGCTTATGCACAAAACGGGTCCTGAGTTAACAGAAGGCGATGAGTCTGAATGTGGGTGGGGAGGGGAGGAAAATGCCTCTTCTCTACAGGCCGTGAGGGAGCCACGGTGTGAGAGCATTAAACAGTGGGCCTGCAGTGTGACCCCAAGTTCAAGTCTGACGGCTCCGAACTGCAACTTTTGCAGCCGAGTCAGCCCCGAGAACCGTCAGGGCATGCGTGGGTTTTTTCCTGCCCTGCCAGGCCTCCCCACGTGCGTCTCTTCCCGGACCCCCCTCTCCTCCTTCCTATCCACGCTGCCTGGAAGGCTCTCCTGCCTTTCTGGCTTTTCCTGCATCCATCAAGCCTGTTCCTCTGGCTGGTGAGTCAGGCTCCTTGTATTCCAGTCCTGGCTCAGCGCTTTAGATCTGTGTGACATGAAACATCTCACTTAACCTTTCTTTGCCTCGGATGTCTCATCTGCAAAATGAGGATCATAGTAGACCTAACTCATAGGGCTCATATGAGGGTTGAATGTGGTCGTGGATTCAGAGCTCTTAGAACAGAGTGTGGCCAGCACATAGTATGTGCTCAGTAAGTGATGGGTGTTATTCAGTTCCGTTCCAACCCCGTCTCCACCCACATTTACACAGTCTCTTCTCACACACAAATTAGAGAGGAAAACCCATCATCCAGAGAGTTCACAGGCATAATCTCATTTTATTTCATACTGCTTTATTATGCTTCATAGGTATTTCAGTTTTTACATATTGAAGATTTGTGGCAACTCCGCATCGTCAGATGATGGTTAATATTTTTTAGCAATATATTCTTTTAAAGTTAAGGTAGGTACTCTGTTTTTTTCTTTTTTTTTCATATGTAAGGCAATTGTACACTTTGACTCCAGTATAGTGTAAACATAACTTTTATATGTATCAGGAAACCAAAAAATTTGTGTTTGTTTTACTGTGGTAGTCTGGAACCAAACCCACAATATCTCCCAAGATCTGCCTGTAGTTAATTGGATTCAGGGAGTTTTAAAGCAGGAACATTAATTCTTAAATCAAGAGCAGAGTTGAGGAGCTAGTGATTTTCTCAACTTTGGCCGCACTATTTGAAAG